TGTGAAGCGCCAGACCCCATTTACACCATGTAACGATGATGATGATGTGTGTTCAGGGCTGCATTGCAATATTGATTGTTCGGATCATTGGTATCTAAGTCTTCCGCTGTGTTATCTTGTACTTTGTATTGAGAGGTCGGTTCTTGTTCTGGTCTGCACGTTACAGTATGCAACAGTGTATGTCTCCCACCCGCTGTCCCTCCCTGAGGAAGGGCTGGATGTACTACTATCCTGGGGCACTAGGCCTTTCAGCCTGGTGTCCCACGGACTCCACACACACAAACAGACAGACACAGACAAAACCCACACCACAAAAAGTAGTCACACTTTAGACTGAGAAAAAACACTAAGCAGCACATGATCTTTATTTGCATGAGAAGCGCATTCAGTAGGCAAGGGGCTCGGAACGCGGAAAGCGTCGAGAGTCCATACACGGGACAACAACAAGACAAACGGGAGTCAGACCCCTTCGACAGTACTTCCTTCTTTTGACTCCTTACGCCGATTTTACCCGATTCGATTCATTCTTACTCTTTCGGAATGTTTCTTTACAAAGTAAGGCAATTCAGATCTGATTCTCGCTCATTTTCCTCTCTTCCGATCGTAGACTTCTAGTACTTCCCTTCTTTCCATCTTTCTTTTTTTTTTACCTGTTTTTCTCATTGCAAGTTTGAGTCTTTCCGCCTCCTCTTTACCTGGTTTCCTCCTCGTGTCTCCTGTCGCAGGCTCAAGTGTTTTGCCCATTCGCTCTCCCTGTCCTTCTTCCCTCTTTCTCCCTGTCGTAGACTTAAATCCTTCCTCCTCCCTCTGTTATTGTCTCCTTATTTTGAGTGTGTGTGTGTGTGTGTGTGTGTGTGTGTGTGTGTGTGTGTGTGTGTGTGTGTGCGCGCGTGTGTGTAATGAATCATAGGGCCACCGTGACGCGAATCACGGCGAGCTGCAGTTAAGTACACAATCAAACTCAGTACCAGAACAGAACAATCCGCATCGCATGGTAAGTACAGAAGGCACACATACCCAACAAGAAAGCATAAGAGTGTGCATACAGCGGCCTCTCTTTTATCAACCCCACAAAACACACGGGCTAGAGCCTGAGGGCACTAGGCCTCAACAGACAAAAGACAACAAACAGTGCAAGGCAACAAAGAGGAGGCAGACGAAAGACTGCGAAGGAAAAGGCATGCAGCAGCAAAGCATGCAATGACGTGCAAGAGCAAAGGACACAGGCAGGAGGGTAAGGGGGAGGTGGGTGGGCGCACAAAAAGCATAAGGCGACAAGGCGTAGAAGGATAGGCAGCAACAAGGAACAATGGTTGGAGAGCACGGCGGAGGCTTGAGGTAGCAAGGCATGTGACGTCATGCAGCAACAAAAGGCAAAGGTTGGAGGGCAAAGGGGAGGCAGGTGGGCACACACAGGCATAAGACAACAAGGTATACAGGCAGGGTATGGAGGAGGTGGGAGGGCAGACGACACTTGAGCCCACAAAAGGGAAACCAGAAAAAGATACAAGTCCCAGAAAAACAAAAGACCCAAAAAAATAAAAACCGATGATAACAAGATTGCTTCGTCGGAGTTTGCACCAACTCATCAGGAGGCTGAACCCTTGACAATCTGCGGAATCTCCATATTGGATGGTTTGGGTCATGAACCCTTTGACCCTTGTTGAAGGCAGACTGTCCCCAAATGGAACACAGCAGCAGGCAGCAATTCAGCAAAGCACCAGGCAACGCTGCTGAGGCAACACGGCTGCTCGGCGCCAAAGACGACTGCAAGGAACGAGACAGCAAGTAAAGCACAAGGCAACACCAACAAGGCAAGTGACCTACAAGGCATGCAAGCAAAAGACACGGAAGGCACGGCCTGCGGATGGGCGGCAAGGCAATGCCAACACCACAGCCACACCACATAGTGAACACAGAAGTTTGCCAAGAACGACCTGCGAAGCAAGCGGGACAGGCGGCAAGGCAGCGGCGGAGCGCAGACGAGGCAGTCCACACGTCCAACACGGAGCAAAGCAGCACATGACCTACTCACATCACGGGTGAACCCTGCAGACTGTTGGTTCCCACCACCCACTGAGCCAGGGAGTCACTCGGACAAACATCCATCATCACCCATAGGGCAGACAGACATCCCGAACTGAGAGGCCTCCCTAAGAGTGTTGTAGGCACTCCGAACGAGGAATGTCCGACTGTTTGGCACTGCTTAAGGGTGCTCAGATGGGCATACAAAAAAAAATACTTGGAAAAAATCAGAGGGAGGGAAGACAACAGGAGAAAGGCAGCCAGAGTCTGCCAGACATAAAACTGATTGTGTGTGTGTGTGCGTGTGTTTGTGTGTGTGTTGGGGGGGAGGGCGGTGTGTGTGTGTGTGTGTGTGTGTGTGTGTGTGTGTGTGTG